TTAACCACAGGCTTCCAGGGAAACAGGGTTTGCTTGAATATTTATGGAACTCTTTGGTTCACATCTATTGGATGCCCTATTTAAAACACTTATCTCCTGGTCTGTGCTCTGCTGGCATCTGCATTAAAACAGAGAATGACAAACAACTCCCCACACACAGGAATGCGCTGGGACATGGTCGCTCCTGAATTATTCCCAGCTAAAGCAGGTGCACATCATGACAACCACCTATATTCTAGAATAAATTTTGGCAGCTGTGTTGTTTGAGATCATCCTGAATAATAGAGCTAAGCTACAGGAGAAGAAAAAATGTGGACATTTATTACATGAGAATATCTTGCTGATTTAAAAACTCGGTTTTATCACATCCTACACTGAAGGAAGCCTACCAGTGAGTCCTGCTGGGTTCTATCAATACCTCTGATTATGCAGATTTCTTCTTTTACCTGTCATGCCACCTCTCAGCTTGGTCTTGAGAAATGCTGTCACCATGCTGTAACTATGCTGCCTGTTGCTGTGAGAGCCAGCATGCAGGACAATTATCTCTTCTGTCTGTCATTTGTTACCTCTAGATTTAAATCCTGAGCAGAGTCATTGTTTCGTAAAGGCACTTTTCTACCATGTAACAGCACCAGAACTTCGGGAAAGCTCCAACACAGCCTGGAGTCCCTGAGGGGTAGCCTGAACTGCCTCTTTGGCCATTTGGATCACAAGGTGCCAAAGACCCAGGAATAACGCAGTGGCTGAACATTGTGTTCTGGGCTCTGCCACATGAGACACTTTGCAATGGCTCACATCTCTGCTATGGGGGGATTTCCTTCTTACGTCTTACAAGTATAGAAAATTCCTTACTTTTATCTTTAAAAATAAACTAATAATAATAAAGGGAAACAAAGAAAACTGTTTCAAAAAGCTCATGCTCAGAATTGTGGGGGGGTTTTCCCCAAGTAGAAAATACCACAATCTGAGAATTAAAATTAAACCATCAGGCTTTACTAAATGGCACGACTGCATTTAAAGTGCTCAGAGATATAAAAGCCAACTTCATTCATGTTCCTTCACCCATTTAAATGCACAGTGAACAAATGAAAGGGCTTTTTTAGGGAACGAATCAATGCTTATCCATAATCTTCGTTTCAATTGAGATAACTGACTCTTCAATTTCCCCCCTCTCTACTGCATACACCATTTGTTTTGTGGAGGTTTTTTTTCTCTCCTCAAACCTCTTAAACAAAAGCCTCCGCTCAGATGAGCTTTCTCAAGTTCTGAGCAGTTCTACCTATTACTGAAAAACCAGAATTTAAAATTGTTTATCCAAGTGTTAGCCAAATTCCCCAATCAATCTTCTCTTTTCTCTCCAAATCATTCCTTTTTCTCCTATTTTTTTTTCTATCAAAGAATTCCATTATTGTATCAAAGGTATGTGAAAATAGCTTTCACAGTGTCTCTCTCCTGCCTTTATAGCAAAGCTGCAGATGGCTCCAATTCAGCCCCTGCTAAAATAAAAGAAGGCAAATTGCAATACCCACATAATTCCACATGAGCAGAAAATGTTTGCTTCATCTGCAAACCTGCTGGTACAATTTCATATGCATACAGATAATTAGGTAATCCTTTTATTTTACATCTTTCATAGCCCTTCATTGTTTTAGCATTTTCATTGAAAACAGCTGGTAATCTCCATCAATGAAAACTGCATTTGTTTTATTATTATTATTTCTGCTTAAGAGGCTTGTTAAGATATGCTATGAATCAATTAAAAGGCCTGTATAAGACAGATATATTGACATTAAAATAAAAGCAAGACCTTTTGCTTGCAGATAGTAAGGTAAGGTATTAAATATTAAAGTTGATTTACTAAAAGGCTTAACATATATGAAAGCCCAAATCAGATAAGAGAATGAAAATAAATTGTGTTATATTGTTTGTGAAGAGACCTGACAGAGGTAAACACATTTTTACATGACAGCTCTTTAAAAAAAAAAAATAGATAAAAGAGATTTGGTTGATTAATCTCCATAGCATTTTGAGTCTTGTTCCAGCAGTGACACAAGTGCAAGGAGGAATAGGAAAGGCCAGAATAAGGGAATGTACTTAGAGGATAATGGGCTCCATTGGCCAGGGGAAGAAGGAAGCCCTTACTGTGATTAAAGTCTCTTACACTGCTGTTCCTCCTGCCATAATGGACCAACAGTCAAAATTCACATTAAAAACCCACTATTTTATTTACTGAATGACATGCAGTTCTGCATGTAACTCATAAGGCAAATTCCACACTTTTCTGCAAAAGTTTCTGTTTAAATTCAGCATGCTGCATTTTTCTTTGATCATTTTATCACACCCGTGTCCTAAACGACCTCTTGGGAGAGAGCTTAAAAGGATGCAGTAGGAGGTAATCCAAATTGAATATATGTAGTTATGCATACAGTCCAAATGTGAAATTCTGCCTCCAAACTAGTAACAATGACACTTTTTAGAGGATTTAATCCCAGTAAGATGTCAGATGCCTGCTGGGAGCTGGCATTCAAAGAGGAGTGGCTGTGCCACCTGCAGCTAAACCATGTTAATAGGAGAGAGAGGGATCCTAAGGGACATGTGCTCCTGGAATCGTTACCTGTCTCAGTCACTGCATAATGGGGGAAGGGAATCATTTTCATAATGCCGCAGAGATTTTCTTCTGAAGGGTCTGACTGAGCACTCCAGGGACTAGAATGATCCATCTACATCACCCCTCTCTTCTGGGAATGACAGGAGAGGCTGCACTGAAATCACTAAGGAAGCACGGCAAAGGATGGCCTTTAAATAACAAGTGAGGGCTGAGGACCCTCCCTCTCTAGTCGAGTAGACTTCAGTCTCACTGTGGCTGTAACACTAAGGCTCTGAATTAGGATATTTAATTTGCATTAAATAATAAACTCACTGTATTTGCTTCTCCTCATAGCCCATGGCTTTGTAAGCTTTACTCACACTTTAATTTAAGACAGACTCTCAGTGTAGGAGGAAAATGTGATGGTAAGGGAGTTCCTCACAGGAACCTGCTCTAAGCAGGTACGAGTAGGAACATCAGACACAGACAGCAGAATCAGACCCATGTGCTCTGTGTTTCTGGCTTGTAATTCTATTGAGAACACTAATGTTAAACTTATCTTTTTGAAAAGAAAGAATATGAGTTCTTTCAGAGCTTTCTTTCATCTTATCAATCACATTATTATTCGAGGCCAGTGTCTTTTGATATGGATGCTTCAAAAAAATTCTGAATTAGAGTTCCACAGAAGAATATAAACCTGCTTATGAAATTAAATAAACCCAAGGATTCTGTACACTTGCTTTCTTACCTGCTATTGCATGATTAATCATTGACTTTTTGTTGGTTTCCCTCATGAGATTTCAATATAACACATTTGAAAATATTATTTTTGTTCTGCTCATACCAGATAAAAAAATAAATGCATCTACGATTTTTGATCAGTGTTCTTCTTCCATTAAGATGGCTCTGTTGTAAAAATATTATTTTTTGCTAGTGTTTCCAGAGTCTCACTCTGCAGACATATTAGGGGAGAATCACAGTGAATGTAGCTTAAGTGCAAAGAATTTGGTGTACAAAAATGTCATTTTCCTGCTAGATATGTCCTCAGAGTAAAACTCCTCTGGTACAAAGCTAGTACAGAAGCCCTACTTTATCCCCACCAGATTTCTGGGCAGGAACAGCAAGTTCCATAGGTGGATGATCTATTTTCCAACTTTCCCAGCCTTTAGCTTGAGATGCAATCCATGAGCAAACTCCTCTTTCAGGGAGCTATAGAACATCAGGGGTGGAAAATGCCAGTTCACATTTTTTTCTCAGTAGTTTGCCATCACAGAAACCTGTAACACCCTGGAGTTACTAAGTTATCAGCTACCTGTTGGGTAAACTTCCAACCTAGGTAATAGCAAATAACAGGTAGTTGGTTTGTTTTTTTCCAGTTCAGCTTCTTTTGCTGTTGAGCTAAACATTCACACTTCCTCTCCTTTCCCCTTCGGCAGAATGTATAAAACCTTTCAGGGAGTTCATGGTTAATAAAACCCCCAGTGGTCACACACCAGACATGAGTGCACCTCCTGGTCTTCTTGCATACCTAAATTCAGTATAAATTTTAGGCTCATCAGGTTTATCCAGCTGTTAGCTCAGCACCTCAGCAGCCCTGTCCCACATCAGCCTGGGCACCCTCATCTTGACCAGGGGCAAGGCTCAAATATTGGGAAGCAGCACAGAGTAGCAGCAGCAGGCAGGGAAGATCACCCACAAGCAATGTTGTTTACATAATTAACATGAAATTTCCCTGGCTTATCTCCTTTCAAACTTCAGACTACAGCCGCTTTAATTGCATTGTTTAGGCTTTTGTTGCTCTTTCTCTGGGCTAAGGAAGGGTAGGGAGTTATCTTTTCAGCAATACTTCTTATCTCACAAACATATTTAACTACTAACTGTAAAATTGCTTGAAAAAACACATCTTGTTGTATCACTTAGGAATCATCCTTCTGCCGTGAAGGGAAAGAGAAGAGGTGGGAAGGGTGTTGGAGATGCCATGTCCAGAAAACATTTCATTACAAAATGTATTTTTCTTTACCAGAGGAGAGGATTACCAGAATTTTGTTCTGTAAAAATCTGCCTGAAGCAGAATTTCTGTGCTACAGGAATGTCAGATGTAGACATTGATACCTGGCAAAAGAGAGGTTTTGCTGGAAAAAGAGGAAGATGCTGTTTCCAGAAAACCACTGTTGCTTAGTTTGACAAGTCAAATCCAACTTCCTGCACTGTCCTTTGGAAAAGGCTGGCCCTGCTTCAAGTTCCCCCTCATCAGATTTAATCCCTAAATCACTGCTACTGCAACCTGCCCTGACCCAATGCAAGCACTGTTAAGGGCCTCCTGTGCTCAGAAAGGTAAGGGAAGAGAAGAGAGAGGAAAGGGCATGGAGCTGGACACCTGCCTGGAAAAAAAAAATAACATGCATGCAGAAGGAACAGTTTTAAGTGGATTATTTTGCCTCCAAAATTGATCCAATTTTCAGCAACTTGATTCCAGGTAGTCTTTTGGACTTCCATTAGATGCAAAAGGAGCTAAGCAATAGTGTTATCCCTGTAGCACGATCATCTCTTTCTGTCTCTCTCACGTAGATACCCACCCACAGAATTTTTAAGTTCTGAACAAATTTATAACAGCAATGGTATAGAATAAATTTATATGCACACGCGAACACAAATTGTGTGTGGGTAGAAAGATCATGTAAGCATCTGATGTTCATCTCACAGCTGAAAAGTAGAATACCATAAAACTAATATTATTAGGATGCCAGATACTTTCTTCCACTGCACCACATCATGAGAAAGGAAAAGAAGCTCTGGTGGAAGGAGTCAGCCACTAAAGGAGCCAGGAGAACAGAACAACTGTGCTCCTTCCTGTTCTGACAGCCCTCTGACACAGTGCCAGGCTCTGGTGGCTCACAGCCCAGGACCGTTTGAGAACAGATGGAATATAGTATGTTCCTTTCTGAAATTAAGGGAAGTAAGGGAAAAGGAAAGCAAAAGGAAGTGAAGCTCAGATCAGCACTTCCTGAACTGCACTTCCTCTACAGCGCTTGATCCACAGCCCTTTGAAGTCTGCAGGGAGAGCTCCTGCAGAGACTTCAAAAGGATTTGATTCAGAGCCCGAAGGAGAAGGAAAAAGTGTGTGGCATGGCAGAGAGCTCACTGGCATCACAGCTCCGTGGGAATGCACACAGCTTTGCCCGGAGCTACGTGTGCTTATCAAATGTTCTCCTTCCTTGGATTGCCCTTGAGACATGTTCCATCCAGCAGGACCTGTGAAAAGATTTAAAATATGGTTTAATTTACATATATTTGATGGAGAACATAAGTGTTCTTCCAGAAGATTTGCAAGTCAAGTAGTGCTTTTCCTCCCCCTATCTGAAATAAAAGAATATTTCCTTTTTTCCTGGCAAAATGTTCCCGCATGAACATTGTATTAACTCTGTATATTAATTGAAAATTTTTAGTGCTGTCTTTTTACCGTTACTGAACAGAGTTATTACAATCAAGATTTCTTTCCTCTTTTAAGTCTGGTCTTGCTGTACAACGACCATTCCCAGTATCTCCCCAAATGCACCTTCTTCATATCAGCGTTCTATAGCTAGAAAGCATTTTAAGTTTTCCTTCTAATAGCAATTTACTTTGATATTAAAATGTCCATCAAAATCTCTGCAACTACAGTCATTACAAAGTTCCCAATATTTATGTGGTTTAACAATGAAAGAATTTTCCCAAAAAGCCAAACAAAAAAACCCACCTATCATTCAAAGTACTTTCTAGTCCAGTTTTACATGTATCATATGGTTAAAGTAGTTCTCTGGAGCTTCACTCATGATTCTGTCTGGAAAATAACCAAAAATACTCCCTTTCCTCCCCCCCCTAAAATAACCACACAACCTTTATGAAATACACTGAAACAATAAATTCCACATAGAACCCTTTATGTATTCACCCACACCGTGCTCTTCCATGAGCAAGGTTGTAAGTGTGACATGGTGTGTGCATTTAGCTTGTGATGCTTCCAGAGGACTCCATGCTGCCGCTCTGTCCCACAAATTACAGGGTCAAGGCTGAGAAAGGAGGTGGAAAATTTATAGATCAGGATACATATAAGTACTCGCCGTGAAAGCTGTGGTGAGGCCCTAAAATCTGTAGCCTTCTGTTTGCCAAAATGATTAGAGGAGGTTTTTAGAGTTGTCAGGAACTGAACACCATGTGAGAAACAAACGAAGCAGCAGAATTATACACAAGGACAACATGGGCAATGGAACAAGAGCGGAGCAGACAGCACGGCTTGCTCGGTGTTCCTGCACGGACCAACATTGGAAATGGTAGATGGACAGGCAGCAAGGGCTTTGGAAGGGTCCAGTGGGCTAAAGAAGAAATTATACCATATTTTAAAACATGACAAAGAGAAATGCTTGATCAAACCTGCTAGTATGGCCTGCTTACAGATGAAGTTTGGGCAAAGGGAAATCAAACGCCTCCGAGGCTCCCAGTGAAGCAAAAAATTACATTAGCTTTACAGCCTCAAGCATATTTGTTAGTATTTAACAAATTATGTGCTTCATTTAAGTACCATTGCTGGTAGCCAAATAAATTAAAATCACCTCATTAGGCTTTACATCAGTGAAGTTAAAAAATTAAAAGAGGCTTTTCTTACCTTCTGCCTAGGTGTCCTCCTGCTTGTACAGTCAGTGCCAGTAGGGACCTGTCATGGAGGCCTTTTTCCATATCATTTGTCTCTAGGCATCCTGAACCTAATGGATATAATGAAAGACAAGGCACATGTGATCTCAGAACATTGCCACAGTTCCACAATCAAAAACGTGATCACTGGGATATCTGAAATGAACAGACTGAAGCACTTGCAGCTCTGCAGGCCCACATGCTGCACTCTGCTAAAGACAAAGGAACAGGCACAAGCAAACCCAGAGAACTGATTGTATTTCCCCAGCAAGCTGCAACAAATCCAGGGAAAGCCCTGCACAGGGTAAACAGGGAGGAGCGTGGACAACAGCTTCTGCTCTTCACTTCTCCACCTCTCTCATGGTGTGACTTTGGGCAAGTTGTTTCACTACATGTGTTGTAGGTAACTGTTTCCAATACAGAGGTAAAGACACTTTAAGCCCACCTTCAGGTTGTCTAAGTTTCCCCTAAATTCCACTGTAGAATATTTTTCCTGATAAACATTTCTGAAGGTCTATGGCCAGTCACAAATGTCCAAAAACTGAGGTAGAAAATAGGCTATTTGAATGTAATCCTTCAGTCTCTTTCGCAAAGTCTTCAATTTATGGAAAGTTAAAACACAGTTCGAGTCACAAATTACTCTCAGTACATATGACCAGGGTTAGGGTGTCTACCTTGTATGCTCCTACTCAAAGAAAAGCCCTTTTCCATCAGGATGGATAGGAAACAAAGGCATTTGCTAAGTATTTGCAACATTTGACCAGTTCCATTGACAAAATAATGGAAAAGCAAGGAAAGCCAAACTCTTTTTTCTCATAAATAGTTCATTCTCTGTGGAAGGCAGTTTGGAGAAACCAAAACCTCTGAAACTTATATTGTGCAATAGGTATGTCAGAAAAAATATACAGTATGACATTTTCCAAGTGAAGCACTTCAATTTTTAATTTAAAGTGTTATTTTGGGACCAGGTTCAGCACATTCCATTAAAAAAAAAAAAAAAAAACAAAACATTTAGTGGGGAATGAAAAGTTTCATTCGAACAAAAAAATCTTTGCTAACTTCCTAGGATTTATGTTTTAATATGGAAGCAGAAACATTTTTTGTTCAGGTCACCCAGCAGCAGCTCCTGTAGAATGATTTGCACAGCCTTGTTAAGGGAATATTTGAAAACTTGCAGAAAAATTCTCTAGCTGCACTGCAGGGAAAAAAAAAAAAAAGAAGACTGCATAACTCATCATAGTACCAATATGTCTCAACATTTAAGACAATATTTAAGATTTGCTATTCCTAAGTGCTGATTTCCTGTTGAAGTTAGCAGGACCATTTGCATACTTCTGATTAAATATCTTCCTAAAGGCTTTGCCAAGTCAAGGTACATGAAGCAAATGATAATGAGAGAAAGCTGTTGAATATCTTGACAGTTATCACAAAATTCTCTGAATAAATTACATGAACACTTTTACCTGTTATTGCCCTTTTGGCATGAAAGTCTTTATTTAAAACAGTTCTTCCTCTTTAACGAATTTGACTTGTGATGATGATTGATATCTCCTGTCTTTGCATTTTCACATTCCTCTAAAGTGGTGATAACCACTTCCAAAGTCCTGATCGCTCTGACACCAAGCCAGTGGTGAGGAATAGGGAACAGAGACCTTCCCCATTAGCAGCAAAAACAGTCAGGTAAAACTACATGTAAAAGATGCTTTGCAGTAACCAAAATCCACAGGAATAAATTAGATAGCTACATCCTCGGTGGTTACAAGTTAAGGCACCAGTGTTAACTCCTTGCTAGTTTACTGCTCCAGAAGTGTGCAGTTATTTCTCGGTAGTGGAAGAGCCAGCTGCTAGTTAGTGTTTGTGCTCTGCTTGTTCCTCTGTGGAAACCTGTTGTAAACAGAGGGCTGCCAAGGGTATCAAACTTTTCATATCACTGTGATGTAGAATGAAGTTCATTATGATTTGAATTAGGGCACATCAAATTCATTGTGCTTTATCTGATGAGATTCATATGCTGTCCAATTCAAGAAAGGTAATCTATGGAATGTGACGCTGGAGTTACAAGTAACTTGTTATTGATCACTCTCTTTTTCATTTTTGCTTCAGACATTTGCAGTATAATAGTGATGTTGAAACAGTCACATTTGTATTAAATATAACACCTTCCACAGCATGTTTAGTTTTCAGTTGCAATTCTTCACCTTGCATGCTATTTAGTGATTCTAAACTGTGCATATCCAAAGCCATACAAGCCAGCACCATTTCAGCAGAATTCCACTGGTATGTTATACAAATATTGATTTTGGAAACATCTTTGATGTTAGTCAGTTCTTCAGAATATTGTATTCAGAACTGAGCATGTATGAAAAACTAAGCACACGGTATCAGTGTGTGCTGGGAAATTATACTCAAACTAAAGCAAAAACTGGGGCTCAGTCAATTATGAAATCTGTTTTCTCTTCAATGCTTATAAGACAAAAGGGACAAAGCCACGGAAGAAACACTACAGATGCTCAGTTTGGGAGGAAGTAACTCATTCTCATGTTCTCCAAGGAGTGACAGGTAAGCTGTCTCCCAGAGAAGACCATTTTATGAAGGTGCTGTAAGCTGCAGCTCAGACCACACTGCCCTATTTCTCTCCACCATCCTTACCCTGACAAACACTCTGACCTGTGGAGCTTTGCAACCACGTGTCCAAAAGCCACAAGTCCTCACCTTTCCCTTTTGCCAAGGCAATGTTGGAAAAACATCACAGATTCTGGTGCATTTAAGCAGCATATGTGGGATGGAATAAATAAGAGTAGTTCCCTCTATATCCAAATCAGCAGCGCTCCCTTCCTTTCTGGCAGGGAAATGGCCATTTCCACAATGGTCATGGGGGTAAGGCTGGGGTTGCAGGAGCACTTGGAACCATAAAAGATGCTAAAGGACAGACTGTTATCTACCACTACAGATAAATGCAATTAAGGGCCATCATAGTTTCCCCCAGCAGTGCTAGTTCTTCCTAAACTTGTTCTCTCACGTTCCTGCAGTCATCATTTCTTTAGTGACTGCAAAGTCACCAAATTGCTTCTCACTCTACACAGCAGCAAAACAAGATGTCAAAAGAGAAAAAGGTGATTCCCTAGCTAAGTTCTGACAACAGAACAAAGAATTTAATCTGAATCACTGTCTCTGCTTAGCTTTACATACACAGACAGAGATGAAACCAAGAGTTCTGGATAATTTTAACCACAGAATTTATGACTGTTGCTACAGGTCTGGGATGGGAGAAATTGGATCTGTTCTGCTTCAACCTGCCCTCAGGACCGTAAAAGAAAAATCATTATCCACACCAAGACCTGAGAGCAGACCCCTGAGCCAGGGTCTGTAGGGTGCCTGTAACCCACCTACAGCCCTTTGCAGGACCCAGCTCACCAGCAGAACCCTGGAGCTGCTTCAGCCTCCTGTTCTCCATCCACAGATGGTTCCAGATACATGCCAGGATGCAGAACAATCTTTCAGTGTCTCTACAACAGACTACCTGGTCCCCAGCTGGTCAAAGACTTTGCACCACTTACCAGAGAGGATAAAGGGATAAGGAAAAAAGAAAAAAAAGAAAAAAGGAAAAAGATAAAAAAGAGGAAAGGACAAAAGGGAAAAACAAGAAATAAAAATGGAAACAGGCAAAAAGATAAGAGAAAATAAAAAAGAGAAAATAGGAAAAAAGAAAAGACAAAGCAAGAGAAGAAGAAAAAAAGAAAAATGGATATGAAAAGAAAGAAAAAGGAAAAAAGAAAGAGAAGGAAATAGCAAAAAAAAAAAAAGCCAACATCCTTTTAAACACAGGGAATGAGAGGTTAACTCAGGATATCAGAAGGGAGGACTAGAATGAAAAAGAAAAATTAGAAGTGAAAATGCAGTTTATTTCTACTGGCATATGCGAAACAAATACCATTTTCTACATACTCTTAAACAGACAGATAAACCAACCCCCAGTGGTTGCCAAAGTGAAAGAAGGGCAGCTGGACCACAGGGTTACTCCAGCCATTAGCATTTTTGCCAGGGGATGAGAAAGCATTTCAAACTGAAACGTGTATGGTCAGCAGAACATAAGCATTAACTTATTGCCTGTCTGATTTTCATCTTTCATTTCAATGTGCTGAATTATTAATGTCATCCTAGTCACTAGCTAACCTTTTTTTTTTTTTTTAGTCTCTGTATAATGTTAAGTCTTCACATAATCCAGAAAAGTTCAGGGTTCTGAAGCAGCAACCCTCCTAAGACGACCTACGAATACAGGCTACTTCAAGTGCAAAATAAACTTCTCCCACATGCAGTTACCATTCAGCACCAGCAGCACTGCAGATCTATTCCTGAAGGAAGACAACAGTGTAGGGTCTGTGGTGCCTTCAGGAAAAAACAGTGTTCTGGGAGGCAGAGGGAAGTGTGACACATCAAGGGCAGTGGGGGTTAAGTCTCCTGGTAGAAGGCTGAGACGCAGTTGGAGGCAGTTGCCTGCTCAGAGGAACCTTCCAAGCCATGGTTGTGCCCCAAGGCCAGTCCAAGGCTGCTGTGACAGCACTCCCAGCACAGCTCACTGTGTCAGAGGGATGGCAACTGCACCTTCCACTGCAGGGCTGTGGCATGAGCAGAACCACAGGCATGCTTCCCTCGGATCTTTGCAGTAATCCCCACTGACTTTGGAAGTGCCTTTCATGGAAACACTCCTGTCAGTTTGGCCAAAGGGCTGGGGAAGCCTGTGCAGGGTCAGAAGCTGATCAGGCAGTTTGCAATCCATGTTCTTTATCTGCTAGAGACAGTAGTAAGGTCTTTGGTTTAGGGAGCAAAGACATGTGGCTGGGAAGAGAGGAAGCTTAAGCTCTATTCAGAGGGTTACTTTTACCAGAACGTTTCAACACTGGAAAAAAATTGTTTACCACCACACTTCTTAAAAGGTTTGAAAGTCTTCAGTGATGAATGGGATTACCTCCTTATTTATTTATCTGTTTTGCAGATTAGCACAAGCCAAACCAAATATACAAATTTCATTCCAGAGGAAAAAATATTACATGCCTAGGGGGGAAAAAACAAA